GAACAAGAAGCAGCTGGTTGTTAGTCCAGCAGGTGTGGAAGTGTCTGGCTTTGCTGTGGCCTTTTCTGTTGTTTCCAATCTTCGTTCTTCCGGGGGCAGCCATGCCCTCCTGCACCTTCTCCCTGCAGTAAGTGGGCCACAGTGGCTACTGGGGATACCGTAGTTCACAGTTTTGTCCCCAGGAAGCTTAGAATGTCTTGGGCTATTGACAAGCAAGCACCAGTGCAAGGTTCTTAGGTGTGCTCAGGGTAGCGCTCAGACTTATGAAACCAGAACAAACCTCCAAAAGGAGCCCTGCCTGGACTTAACAGACTGCTAGGAGCAACCCAACAGGACAGAGGGAATGTAGGGTGTTCCAGACAGAACAGCCCATACGAAAATCTGATGAAGGGGGCCAATGAGATAGTTTAGCAGACTAAGCACAGGGACCCTGGTTCGATCCCCAGCACCACAATGTTGCACCAGCTCCGCCCCCAGGACAAGCTGAGCCCTCCACAGAGTCGGGGCATAGTGGCATATGCCTGTAATCCCAACCCTGGGGAGGCTGAAAACAAAAGGATCATTATGAGTCCCAGTTGCTTAGTGAGACCCTATAACCAAATATATTAAAAAATAATAATACAACAAAATTGATGAAAAAAAATTCAAATTTTGCATTTGGCCTTTTTTTCTTGCCCGGTTTTAACGCTTAGGGGGTTAGGCCTTTTTTTTCCCTCTGAGTCTCTAGCACTTAGCCAGAGCTAGCAGGAGGTACCCTTCAAAGATGCTGGGTGTGTAGTACTTGCCTGGATGTGGCCTGTGCTTTAGGTCAGCCTTAATGGTGTGCAGAGCACCTCCTTCCCCTTAACAGCTCCCCTCTCTCTGGCTCCTCAGCCTTTGCACAAAGCTTTTTCCAGAAAGTCTGATATGCCTAATTTATACCTAAGTCTGTGCTGAAACATGCCCAGAAATATAGCCACAGTCTTAGCAAGAACCTTTGTCTAAATAAAAATAGAGAAAAAGAGCTGGGGGTGTAGCTCAGAGTGAAGAGCTTGGGTTCAATCCATAGTACTGCAAAAGAGGGAGAGAAAGCAAGCAAGCAGAAGTCTCCTTCCCTCCACCTTATGAGAACATACAAATCAGTCTAGCACACTAGGAAGAGAGCCCTGGCCAAAATATGAATCAGCTAGCACCCTGACCTGCTGATTACAGCTTATTCCCAAAGCCGTAATAAATTAATACCTGCATTTAAGCCACCCATCCTGTTTTGTTATAGTAGCTCTAAAGCTGGGTACTGAAAAGTGGGGTACCACTCTAGTAAGTACAAAACCCTGTGGAAGCAGCTTTGGAACAGGCCAATGGGAAGAGACTGGATTTTGAGGTGCATTCCAGGATTATGGATGCTAAGTACAATTCTGATGAAGTCTCACCTAGGAAGGAAAAGCATGTTCTTGGCAATGGAGGGGAAAAAAGCAATGTTTGTTATAAAGCAGAATTGTGTCAGGGCTAGGGAGATGGCTCAGTGGAATAAGCACTTCCTTGGCAAATGCGAGGGTCTGAGTTCAATCCCCAGTTCTGTCAGAGAGAGAGAGAGAGAGAGAGAGAGAGAGAGAGAGAGAGAATTGTGTTGTATTCTGTGTTTTGTGGAAAGCAGAACTTGCAAGTGATGAAATTGGATATTTTTGGGGGAGAGATTTCTAAGCAAAATGTTAGGAGAAGTTAGGTTCTTAGAATGGGGGCAGTTAAAGGATTATTAAGCAATGAAGAAATCAGAACTCAAAAGATTTGGAAAATTCTCACCTGCTCATATTGCAAAAAAATTAAAAAGGAAAATCTTGTTCAGAAGAGAGCTGAAAAGGTGTGGTAAACAACGATTTGATAAGATTAGTGTAGGTGGGAACTTGTTAGCCACCCCAGTGCTGCCAATGTGGGTAAAAGGGGTTGGAGACTGTTCAAAAGGAAGACAGATTATGGGCTTCTTAGAGCCCCTGGGACTAACGTAGGACCAGTTCAGCAGTAGGCAGGTACGATTTGACCTCATCTCGAATCTTTTTTTTTTTGGGGGGTGGAACCGAGGATTGAACTCAGGCCCTTGCCCTTACCAGGGATGCACTTATTCCACTGAGCCATCTCCCAGGCCTCTATTTGACCTCATCTCAATCCAATCACTTGAGAGCATCAGGACTGCCCCTCTCCCCAGCTCATGGGAGATGGACATTGCTTCCATTTCGGCCGGCCGGCATCTTTCCCGAACATCTGTGTCCACACAGGACTAGCCAGCAGAGCTTCAGAAGCCTGCAAGCAAAGACGCGTAGTCTTGTAGTCTGATGGTATTTGCCTTACTGAGTTTGGGCCTCACTCTGAATCCATCTTCCCTTTCTTCCTTCCAAGCTCCTCCTCTTGGGAGGGAATGTCTACCGTATGCTAGTTTCTCCATCGTACTTTGAAGCACGTCCCTTTTGTAGTTCCCTAGGTGGATAGCTGGAGAGCAGTTTGCCTCAGGATAGTTATACCTGGCATCTCACCCTTATCTGCTTTAGATGAGATCTCTGTAGGGCTTCAGACTTTAGAGTTAGTGCTAGAACAAGTTAAAACCTTGGGAGCTATTGCGGTGAAGTAAGTGTACCCTTGCACGCTAGAAGGATGTGAATTTTTAGTGCCAGCATCAAAAGGTCATGGATGGAATGTTTCTGTCCCCATACAAAAAAAAAATTCATATGATGAAGCCTTAACCTCCAGTGTGATGCTACTTAAGAGGTGAGGAGAAAAAAAAAAAAAAAAAAAGAGGTGAGGAGTGTGGGTTGATCAGATTGAGATGAGGTCATTAGGTGAGACTTCCTTGGTGAAAGTAGTGGCCTAGTTACAAGAAAAGAAAGAAACCAGAACTCATTCTCTTCCATGTAAGACCATAGCAAGAAAAGCATAGTGTTATGGTTTGTGTCTAGGTGTTCCCCCAAAGCCTCATGCAGTCTTGGGGATGTTTCTGGAGTTTGTGATTGATTATTGTGGGTGTGGATGCTGCACTTGCCCTGGGGCAGGTAATTTGCATTACAATGTAAGGAGGGAAGAGAAGCTAGC